GGGAGGCCATGATAGTCTGAGGATGGAAAGTCTGTTATCATTGAAAATAAGATTCTGGAAGGAATACATGCAGTCAGCTGCTGGAGAATTTACTCCAGTAGCTATTTTCCAAGGGGGTATTTATGCAGGTGTTGACTCAGCACTGCACATTGTATATTATTCCTGTGGATATATCATACCAACATGTTTTCAAGATTTGTAAGAAAAGGATACTGCTAACATTTGCTTTGATAATCAAGGTAAGTTTAAGAATTTTTAGATAGGGAGAAAGTTCATTGTACATTGCAGGTTTGAAACAACCAAAGTGTTTGTGCGTGCGTGCATGTGTGTATGTCCACACATGTTTGTGTGTACTCCTGATTTTTCTGACAGTATTACTTAATGGATGTGCAGTGTATTTAGGAAATTATCAAACTTGATAAGACTTAGTTTTTATGCATTTGTCATGTATTTTGAAGGAGATGCTATTTGCTATTCAATTGTTTTGAGTTTTTAATAAAACAATGGTATCCGTAATCTATCATTAAGTAGCATTTAATAAAAAAAATCAATTTTTTAAATTCTGTTCCTGAACATAAAATTAATTGAGGAATATACAAATAGGACTATATTGATAGTAAATTCTACAAGCTCTCATTGTTTTCAGACATTAGGTCAGCCTTGCTAATCTCACACCTTTTTTTATTTCTTGATAAATGTTTTTGAACAGCACATTCCTGTATTATCTGTCTGAAAAAGAATAGGCTGCCATTGTAGATTTTAGTATTTAATGTAAATTAACAAAAATGATCATTTGTCCATTAAAAAGCTCAAATCTGACATTAAAGCCTCGCAGGAACCAACACTGTCCATTCAGACAACAGATTGTATCAGTATTGACTTGCCTTAAACTCTGTCTGACGAATACTTAACAGTTTAACAGTTGTTGAAGAAACTCCCAAACAAGATTAGTCCTAGTCAAGGACGTCACCTCATCAAAAAGTTAAACTGGTATCAAACCCTCTTTGCAAGCAGATTTGCCTCATAGGACCTATCTCCTACCAGCTGTTGCATGCTAATTTAATCCAATTGTCACACACTCACACTTACATTAATAGAGTCACTAATCCCATGATAAGTCTTTGTAACTGTTCAATCAGCCACATTATGTGATTTTCAACCAATTATAGGAGTTAAATATTGCGTATTAATTATAACTTGATTGTAATTCTTTAGTTTATACACATATGCTCAGCATTTGAAGTGGAATGTTTAATCTGTGAGTCCATATTGGAGTCATTAGATCAAGACAAAGGAAAATAGCTAATGCATGATATAGTTTAGATTGTCTTTGTTCCAGTTAAATGAACAAACCCTTTGTTGTTTGATGTTTTTTTATCTGTACATGTTTCATATGTATCTAAATATTGCACAGCTCACCTCCACAATATGCAATACTAAGTTTAAGCATTTTCAATTTTAGATCAAATGTATATATTATGCTTTGATATTATCATACTTTAAGTAGCATACAATTCATAGTATCACTCGGCCCAAACTTTTAAAACTGGATGAGCTTTTTACTTTCAGTTGCTTTGGTTTAATTCTATTAATTTAGTCTAAATCAGTCATTTCTGCTTCTCAGTCCTATGTAAATCTCATTGTGTGTGTGGATTGTTAATTTTGACTACGTGTATGCTATCATGACTCGCTATCATGACTGATTTGAATGATGGAAATAAGGCCTCACAGCAGCATAATTTTGAGTCTGTACCAATAATAGATGAATGTTTCCTTTTTTGCCTATTTCTTTTGCATTTTAAGTCTACCTATGCCCATTAAAATAGGTGTGAGTATGCATTGTTTATGTCTCTGTAACTAACACGACTTTAAAATTAAATTATTTGATTTAGTGCTATATATAGATAATACATATAGCTATTAGAATTGGCAGAAATTCCCATCTATGTCAGTCCTTTCCACAGTGAAGCTGAGGGTGCTTCTGTCTGGGCACAGCCCAGTGTTTTTTACCTTAAGTTGTGCAAAGAATATTAAGTGCTACTCTTGATGTTGTGAAGCTTGTGTAACATTCTCTTTGCTGAACTGAATTCATCTCAAGGGGCTGTGGAGCAGTCCCCAGAATAAGACCAGTTTGTTCATGTTACAAAGTACTTGACAGTCCCAAATGAAATTGCTTTTTATAATGTGGTCACTTTGTATCTTAGATCAATCAAAAATGAGTTTTCTTTCATTTACAAATTGAATATGGATTTACTGATTTGTTGCACCAACTAATTCTGTCGGTTACACAACTGACAGAATTAGTTGGTGTTAATTATGTTTTAACCCTGCTTGCTGCAGTAATCTTAAGCGTCACTATACTGTAGCACGCTTTCACAAATGAGCTGATTACTTTGGATAATATTCTTGTTTAATTGGTGAACATGCCTGGAGGCAGTTTTAACACCAAGCTTCATTTAGAGCCGGTAAACACTCATGTAACAGGAGTGTCATGCTCACCGTTAGCTTATTTTTGCATTGCAGTCATGATGGTAATTCTGTTCTCCGCAACTAATCAGATTCAGAAGACTACTCTGCCGTCTGACTTTGTTTCCTCAATATGTGTCAATCATCATATCATATCTAGACAAATAATCACTTTGTTAAGCTTTTTGTCTCAGAGATTAATCTGCATTAAGAGATTATGAGCACTTTTTCTGAATATGATCTAAATGTGAAAAGAAAATGTTCAAAAGTGTAAAAGATGGATTTCTTAATTAGAACGATTTGACATGGGAGAAAATAAGCTCATATAAGCGTGGAGACATTTACTCTTTCTTATTTGCCAAAACTAGACAAACAAAATAAAAAAACAGAAAATTACATGTTATTTTTCATATGACACCAGAATTCTTTATAAGGTGTAATGTATTCCTGTTTAAAAAAAAATTCAGTACGTTTTGTTTTTTTGTTTAATCTAAATACCAAACGCAGCAATATGTTTTGGACAAATATAGAATGATGAACTGTCAAAATTCACAGATAATGTAAACTATTTTTTAGCTGTCTGACACTTCAATCAGATTCATCCTTGGTAAGCCATTCATTTCGTCATCAAATGTTAAAAGATTTATGAAATTTCCTTTTGGTTAAAACCGATCTTAAATGATCTTGAAGTAAGATGAATTGTTCCATTTACTTACAGTGGAACAAGAGAATTATTTTGCAGTTTAAATTTTCTCCCTATCCAATTTTTAAAATCTTGTGGAAATCTAGGCCATTCTTATTCTTCCCAATTTGAATAATGCATCCGATCACTTTTTCTGTTGGTATGACCAAGCGAAATAATGTACGTTTTTTTTTTTTTTTTACATTAGCTTTTTTTCGAAAGTCGCAGTCGTTTGAGGAGGCAATTTAAGTACACGCAGCAGGAGCTTTAAAGCCAAAACAACATGCATCTTTGCTCAGATTTTGCCATGTGCTTGCGCCTTCACATGTCCAGAAGTTTCTGGTCTACCCCAATAATCTAGAACAACATGATAAACTATAAGACAGTAATCTTCCTGAAACTTAATTGATTGAAAAAAAATATATTTAAAAGTAATTCTTACATGGGATATGGTTGAAGTGTTGAGCAAGAATAAAAAAAAAAAAGATTTAGTTTGACATGTGAGGTTATTTGACCTAAAATAAAGACACACTGTGGACAACTAATTTGATAAGTTGTGTTAAAAAAGGTTTCATGTAAAAAAAAAAATTGTTAAAATGTATATATATTTCAACAAAATACATCACTTTTGAGGTTACTCAAAACTGATGAAAAATTGATAAAATTCAAGAGATAAATATACATTTAAAATGTTCTAGATTGTGCTTTTTTATGGTAAAATGTTTTTTTTTAAAGTTTTTTGTGGGTCTATCCTGACAGTTTTAAACTTAGACAACATTAGACTGAAGCTTCGCCTGCTTTTGTCTCCAGCTCCTCTGAGAACCAATCTCAACAGGAACCTGTCCTCACCATAAGGCTTATCCCCCCATTATTGAACCCTGATCAATATGGCTGAGTGTAGCTTGTGTCCAAGCAAATAAGTATATTATCTGTTACAGATCATTTATTGTGTCTATCACTGTGATGCTAACAGGGCTTACATTGTTGTATGAAAAAAGTTACACAAAGGGAGCAAAAATCCAATAACTGCAAATTAGTTGATGTGTTTTTTATGTTTATGGATTTAATTTTACAAAAAGTTATATATTATATATAAAAGTTTTATTTGCTCCATTTCCACACCTACCTTATTTTAGTGATTTGGTGCAAAGGGTTATTTGTTGAAAACACAAACCTTTTCTGTACCTTTTTGCTCTGAGTTTTCTAGCATTAACAGAAAAAGGACATGGCACAGCTTTTTTTTATGGATTCTGTTTGAAATACCAAAATGACCAGCGACAGGGTTCTTTCACAAAGTTTTCAGGATTGGTAAACTTACCAGGATGTAAATAAGTGCTTCTTTCATGTTGTAAGTCTTTTTATATTCCCTCTCAGATTTCTTTCCAAGTTCTTCTTTAAGTTTTTAAAAAAACTTTTATTCTTTCTATATGAAACATTTTTTCACGGTGTTAATGTTATGTGATAGTACTTAGTGTAGGTGTTACACGCAAAGGTCTTAATCTGTTACTTGCCAGTGGAAGTGGCCCATCAAGGATTTGTGGGGTGTCAGATTAGAGCTCAGCGTCGTCATAAATCTCTGCTTCCCAATTCGGTCAGCTGGTGGCGGGTGGGGCTGTCACTAGGTGTCTGTGGATTTGCTGGATAAAACGTTTGTCCTTGTACTTGGCTCAGCTACATGAAGTTCTTTTTCAGACTAAGACTAAATACAGTTTTGATTGGTACTGCATCTGATATTCAGATTTTACTAAGTTTGGAAGATTCTGAGAACAAAGTGGACCCTGATTTGTTTATAGTACACCTCGGTGGTTCTTCGAGATGAACTTCTGCATACAAGACATGTATGAGATGCCTCATGCTGGGGTTGGCGGCTATGCTGTTCAGAGTGGTGGAGAGCATTGTATGTACCCAGGTGATGGCCCAGGGTATGGACACTATGAACCTCAGCCTTTGCACCATCCTCCCTGCATGGAGCAGGCTTGGCCCCCAAACCAACATTACTCTTGCGCCTATGCAACTGGTTCTTCCTCTTTTAAGAATGAGTTCTGCAACATGGAAGTCCCCCTTAGCCACTTCCACCATCAGCCTGAGTATTTCCCTGAGATGAAACCTGAGTTTTCACATCTGCAGTGGATGCAGGGGGCTCACAGGAAAGGTATGGCATCTAGATTCCTTTTGTTTGGGTCTTCTTGGTTAAGTAGGAGTTTGTGAGTTGGTATAATTGTAAGTGAGAATGAAGTTACACTTATCAAAATAGTTTCCGCTGTTGGGGGATATGTGTTTTTTACAATTAGTGGGGACTCCTCTCCAATTAGAGATGCCTCTCCTTTGATCAATGGATCAATGATGTCTGGGATTTTCAAATTAAGTCTGAATGCTAAGACTTAGGGCATCATGCGGTGGTCTAATAGCAATGTTTGAAGCTGGCTTGGGCTGCATATTGATTAATAGCAAAGCAACAGAAGGTCAATGTGAAATGAACAATTCTTTTCATTTTACAAAACCCCAAAGAAGATATTGATCATTTCCTGCAAATCCTACCACAGTCTGCAACTCAAAGCACTGTTCTCACTAAGCCTAACAACAAAGATTCGGCTAGGTTTTACTTCACTGAGTTCACCGGACACAAGACCTCCATTTGTAGAATTTTGTATTAATTAAAAAAAAGTTTTCACATGTTTTCCTTCTACTAAAATATACAACTATTTTTAAAGACTACATAACTACACTATAACAATTAAGATCCTGCCATATTAAACATTAAAGCAACTTAAGTCATTCCTAGTTATTGATATAGAAACTCTATTTAAAATTCTGATCGTTGTCTGTATTGCAAACAATAATATTTTTTTGTTTGTTTTTTTATTTGTCTTTTTATAAAAGATCTTTCCCAAAAATATTTAAATTCAGATATTCATTTGTTTTATAAATAAAGGGCATGTATTTATTTGATATATCTATTCTTTCATAGATGTTGAAGTCATTGGTTGTTCGTTATTCTGTATTTTCCCCTATTTTTGAAGTAGAAGTGCAGTTTTGCATGTTCATTTTTTAAATAAAGCTGGAATATTCTCATATTAACCATGTTTTTCCTCACCAGGGTATATACCAAGTTACCTGGACAAGGATGAGCTATGTGTAGTATGCGGGGACAAAGCCACAGGCTATCACTATCGCTGCATTACCTGTGAAGGTTGCAAGGTAATGCTTTTCCATGGTTGTGTAACAGCAGCTTTTTTCAGCCTTCCATTTTGCAAGCATTACTGATTATATGACCGTCAATCAACTTTTCAGGGATTCTTTAGACGGACAATCCAGAAAAATCTCAACCCAACTTATGCTTGCAAGTACGAAGGGAAGTGCGTTATCGACAAAGTGACCAGAAACCAGTGCCAAGAATGTCGTTTCAAGAAGTGCATTGCAGTGGGAATGGCAACAGACTGTAAGAACATAGGGATATCATCAGTAACCCCATATTTCAGATTGGAAAGCTAATACTTCTTCTTTCAGTTTCTTACGTTGAAGATGGATTTTCATATTACCTTATATAGACAAAAGGAAGTCAATACTCAAACGTGAACTTGCTATATTGAAGCTGTAAACTGTCGATTAAGGTTTTTTTTTTTTATTTCACCTGTGCCTGCTATATACCGATTTACACATTTATTTGTTTAAGGCAGTGGCCTTAAGTACATAAGCCTGGATAAACACAAAAATTTAGATTGATAAAAAATATTTAAACAATAATATTAGAAATAGTTTTTCTGTGCATATTTACAGGTGTTTCTAAGCATTTGAATCAGAATCAGAAATCAGAATCAGAAATACTTTAATAATCCCAGAGGGAAATTATTTTTGTTACAGGCTCCATAAGCAAAACAAAGGCGTATACATATGTACATGTCTATTCATATATACATATATATATATACAAAATTCCTCATAAATATAGCTAGATATATACATAAAAAACAATATGTGTATATGTAGGTCAAAATGAGAGGTGGATAGTGTCAATGATTAGGATTGACTCTCAGAGGGAGGCGTTGTACAGATTGATGACCACCGGCAAGAAGGATTTCCGGTGGCGCTCTGTGGTGAATAATTCGAAGACTAATCTACTGAAGCTGCTTGTTTTCACAAATACAGAAATGATCTTTTTAACTATTCCACTAAATGTCAAGACCTCAGTGAGTGACTTTTTTTATTGTCTATATCCTGAAATCTGAAACCTCCTGTATTGCCATTGAAGCTGTGAAGTCTGTCACTGCATTGCTTTGTCCTCCTTTTTCTATCACATCATCTTCCTTTTTGTACTAATGCTGTTACTCTTCTTTCGCTCCAGTGGTGTTGGATGACAGCAAGAGGCTGGCCAAGCGAAAACTAATTGAGGAAAACCGGGAGCGCCGTCGGAAGGAGGAACTGCAAAAAACTGTGTGGGACCGACTGGAGCCCACGCAAGAGGAATGGGATCTCATTCGTATGGTGACTGAAGCCCATATGGCCACTAATGCCCAGGGCAACCACTGGAAGCAGAAGAGAAAATTCCTGGTGAGACATCCTCCTCCTTCTTCTTTCCTCACCAGAAACTTCTTTGTATTAAATGCTCCCCCAATGCTCCCATGTTTCTCTCTGTCCCCGCCCTCCTGGCCCCCTGTCTTCCACCACAACCGCTGTTCCACTGTTCCCTTTGTTAATATGCCCATGTTTTTTTTGTTGTTTTTTTTATCTCCTTGTAGAGTGAGGAGAAATAGCTGGACGATGGAGAAAAGTGTTCCTGAGCGCAGCGGCACTTATTTAAAATGGAACATCTTACTATCGTCTTGTTTTCTGTCTTAAAAAGCAGCAATCCTTAACCGCTGTCATGAATAGCTTAATATGTGCTTTTTCATTTTTCTCTTCAAGTTTTTATCTTTTGATATCACATCTCTCATGTGTTCAAACTAATTTTGCTTTCTTTTCTGTTAATTCTAATCACTTTATCTGGTCTGTCAGCTTTGAACTTTGTTTTGGCTTTCTATGGCAGGATTTGAAAGAATATCATCACGGATATATATGTTTAGTTAATTTGATACGTTTTGAAAAAACAATTTGATAGGCTACTATTTTTCCCCTATTTTCATTTATGCAAATGGTTTGAGTTATGGTCAATTTCCTTGAAATATAAAAAGTAAGTTTGTAAATAAATATAGGAATTAATCAGATTGAAGACTAAAGGTATAATTAGGTAATAATCCTTATTTGCAAAAACAAAAAATATTACTGTAATTTGAGCGTATTCTCAGCCAATTTTTTAAACGGATTCCAAATCTCACCATAGAAACTCATCTGGGATTTCTGTCTTTGCTTGTTTTTTGTCTGCATACTTTCATCTGTCCTCAGTTAACGTGTTTTCTTTTTAGTTGGCTTGACACAAGTTCTACATTGAAACTTCACGATTCCTGTTGATTATCCAACAGGTCGAGGAAGCAATGCTTCTTAATGAAATAACTTGTAATTTATTCTATACTTCTGACCAGAGTGCTGCAGGGGTGAAGGAAACTAAGGTAAGAAACACAATAACCGCAATGATCTCTTTTCTGAGAATATTTACTGAATTTCACAATGTCAGTTGTGTGCAATTAGCTTATTCTGTTATATAAAGATATTTTTAAAGCAGTTGATAAACAAATCGTCTTAAGAAATAACTTTTTCCATTTATAATAATTTTCAGTTCTGTATGTTCTAGTAAAAAAAATGCAGTTCAGGTTTTTTATTCAATCTCATTCAATCAAAATTATTGAATCTTTAAATATTTCCTCACTTTCCTTTCAGCCTGAGGAATTTGGTCAAGCATCCACGGTCAATGCAGCAGAAGGAAACAAAGTGGATATAGAAGCCTTCAGTCAGTTTACAAAAATTATCACCCCTGCCATAACCAGAGTGGTGGACTTTGCCAAAAAACTCCCTATGTTTTGTGAGGTAACAACTGTTTTTAATTAATTTAATCAATTATTGTTCAGTATGTAATCATGCTAGCCGCAAAAAATATCAGTTTTATGTAGATGTATATAGCTGTGGATATGTGGATAGCAATGATATGTAAATGCCAATGATAACTAACGGAATGAAGTCCACCAAATTAAGTAATTTAGAAGAAGACAAAATCAATAACCTATACATTTAATTACATTCATATTAGATATTAGATAACGTATTGATTTATTTAATTACAAATTAGTTTATTATGAGATATTGAATCTTTTAAAAATGTCCTGCCCCACAGTGCCACTGTTCTCATCATCATAGGATTAATTTTCAACATAACTAACTGTTTTTGGCTCAATATACTTGTCAAACGTTTTCTGCTATGAACTTTCATTTAAATAATATTTTTTGACCAGCTAACCAAATACTGTTCCACTAAAATTATAATGAATTCCTCTCGTAGTTTTAGTTAAAATTTTTTTAAAAATGTGGTTTTCTTTATTTCATTTCTTAACTTGCTCTTATGAATACAAATATTTTTAAAAAGCTAGATGAATGTACACTACTGCTATATGGGCTAAAGGGCCTTCACAAGCTAACCTCCAAAAAAACTATTTTTTCCAGCTGCCTTGTGAGGACCAGATCATCCTGTTGAAGGGCTGTTGCATGGAGATCATGTCGCTCCGAGCAGCTGTTCGCTATGATTCAGAGAGTGAGACTCTCACGCTCAATGGCGAAATGGCGGTTACACGTGATCAGCTTAAAAATGGAGGCCTGGGAGTGGTTTCAGACGCCATTTTTGACCTTGGCGTGTCATTATCCTCTTTTAACTTGGATGACTCTGAGGTGGCTCTTCTACAAGCAGTCATCCTGCTTTCATCCGGTAAGCACCACATTTGCACACATGAGCTGATTAAAGAATTAAAGTATTTTTTGCCATCACGCTTTTTTTATTATTAATATTGTTTTTAGCTTGGCTATTTAGTCACTGTTTTTTGGAGTCAGTAAGTACTGCATTTTTTTAAAAGCATTAAATCTTTTACATAGCAGGGCTTTACATTACAGATGATAGGAAGACCTTTGAGCTTAACTGATGGACCGTTTTGTCTGTGTTTTCTAGTATGGCTATTTTCCTTCCTGCACAGATTATGTGAATACTTGTGTTTGGTGTTAAATTTATATCAAACTGCAGTTCAATCAACTAATAACCATAATCATGCTGAGGTGCTTTGTCCAGCTAGCTTGGGTTTACCTCTACTGACATCAATGCTGCTCCATTGGTTTACGTGCAGACATGAGACTGTGCTAACCGGCCCTTCCATTCTACCTTCTCGGTACATTTAGAATTACCACTAGTGTTTAATTGTTAGCTGTCTGAAGCTTGAATGTCAATAAAAGGTTCTATTTTTGTGTGTGTGTTTTTTTTCCGACGATAAAAACGTCACATAACTAAAAAATTAGTTATGTGACTATTGTCACATAACTAATTAATTAATTAATCAATTAGTCTCATTTTCACATCCAGTGTGTGTGGTGGTTAGCACCATCGCCTCACAGCAAGAGTGTTCTGGGTTTGAGTCCCTGGGGGAACCAGGACCTTTCTGTGTGGAGTTTGCATGTTATCCCTGTGTCTGCGTGGGTTCTCTCCGGGTTCTCCGGCTTCCTCCCACCGTCCAAAAACCTGCATGTTAGGTCAATTGGACATTCCAAATTGCCCTTAGGAGTGAGTATGAGCGAGCATGGTTGTTTGTCCCTGTGTGCCACTGTGTAGCCCTGCGATGGACTGGCGGACTGTCCAGGGTGTAACCCGCCTCTCGCCCATTGACTACAGGGTTAGGCTCCAGTCCCCCGCGACCCCATTAGGGAATAAACTGTTACAGTAATGGATGGATGGATAAGCGGTTTGGATAATGGATGGATAGATATTTTCACATTCTATCTATCTATTTAAACAATTGATTCCTGGACATGTTCACAGATGTGGGAAACCAGCTTTATAATGTACCACCTGACAAGCTTGTCATGTGTAATCGTGAATGGACTGTTTCAGTGAAAATTGCAAACAGCGCAACGGAAAATCATGGTCCACGAAACAACATGTTTACTATGTACAGACTTTGCAGAGTTTGCTAAATAATCAAATTCTTGACTCTAAAGTTTTGATAACTTAGAATGATCTATTTTTAATCCCGAAAGTAGTCTGAAAGGATGTACCTCATATAATCATAATGACACAAAAATGTCAATGAATGTAAAACTATTTCTAAAGCACTGTGTGTCTTTTTCCATTTAGATCGTCCTGGCCTGAGCAGTGTGGAGCGAATTGAGCGTTGTCAAGAGGAGTTTCTGCTTGCTTTTGAACATTACATCAACTACCGTAAACACAAAGTGGCACATTTCTGGCCTAAGCTGCTAATGAAGGTGACAGACCTTCGGATGATTGGCGCTTGCCACGCCAGCAGATTCCTCCACATGAAAGTAGAATGCCCCACAGAGCTATTCCCTCCTCTCTTCCTGGAGGTGTTTGAGGACTGACCAATGGATTTCAATGTATGTGTGCATGTATGTGTATGTGTGTGTCAAAGCCTGGGTACCCTGGTGGTCTCAGAATGGAACCAGCTGAATGCCCATCTAAAAAAAACAACAACTCTCTAATAGCACTACTGAGTGTGTCATCATTCCAGTGTTCAGTAGTAAACCTCTGGTCTAGTTTTGGTTGGAACCATTCCTCACATTTCAGGTACATGTGAATGGCCTTGTTCTCTTTTTGTTTTTCCTTCTGTGGCTCATTTCTTATTATTGTGCATATAACTTCTCACCATGGATTTTACTCTTGTTTTTTTTGGTTCATGATGATTGTACAATTGACATACTGTAATATTAATCCTGTTGAAACCATGCAACTATGTTTTCTTCCACTGCATTAAAAAGCTTAGTAGCTTCCATCTGATACACAAAATAGGACACTGTCAGTTATCCATCAGCCTTGCCCCACCAGCGTAACTTATTTGACCTGTTTATATACCAAATTTCATCAGTACAGGGAGTTAACTGTTGTGTATCTCGCCATCAGTCTGTGACCTGACACATTAAAAGTTAGCAGCTGAAAAGCCTCTGATGGTCTCTTGGTAGCAACAGCATCTCAAAATATAATGCTGCGTTCAAAATTCCTCAGAAAATTCTGAATTTTGCAGCAAGGCAGCTCATAACAACAACAAAAAACTAGCCTGTGCAAACAAGAACAGCCTAAATTGAATTAAAATTAAATTGTAACTCTACCCAATATTTACTTCTGAGGTCAGTTACATCACATAACATTTAAACATGACTACTGACAGACTATCCGTACTGCAAATATGGAAAAATATTATTGTATATTGTATCAAACATTGTTAAATGTTTACGCAATGATTATCAAGATTAGACAGATTACTTTGTTCAGCCTCTCAAATGTGAAAGTTTTTTGATTTTCACTTCTTTATCTGGGATATGTTGGTGTTTGTTGCCTTTTTTTCCTTTTGTATAACAAGGTGGACCAACACTGAGAAATTGTAATTTCATCCTTGTGCTCTGGAGATTCACAGTTGACCAACAGTGAAAGGAATGCAGCAGTAGCATTAACTCCTGTACATCTTTGCAAGAGACTGGTCAGAACTGATGAAGCACAACACTATGAGAATATCAGGAAATGACAATCATACATAACTAGTTTTGATTAAATAATTCCATATTTTGTGCCATAACCATGTATAACACCCCCCTTATTAAATCCCTCCTAACTTGTCTTTGCCATGTCTTGTGTGTCATACATGACAAAGTGTGGTATTTGATAGATGTTATAAGTTGTTATTGTGTGCCACATTCACATGGATTAGGCCCTCTGAGTCGTGTAATCCAAATTAGCAGGTTCGAGTGTACATTCAGGATTACTTAGATATGTAATATCAACCAAGTTGCCTCACACAATCATTTACATGTTACATTTTTACCTTCATAAAAGTCTGAAATGGGGACACTGTATGTTTGGACAGTGATGTCATGGTGCTAAAGTGGCTTGGGGCAATGGCAGATGGAACCATCATGTTAATTACGTTATGTTGATAAGTTTTTTCTTATCATCTTACAATGGCTTGCATATAAACAAACTTACAGACATGCACATATACAGTTCATCTATACACAATCTGTACACTTGCACAGTGGGGCATATGCCTAGATAAGACATGGGTCAGACCCCACCACTGTGACTAGATGATGGGATTTTTACACCATTGATGTTAACTGATTCAAAAGCAGTATGACTGACCATCAGCAAAGTACACTGAGAAAGCTGGTGAGATTTTGAAAATGTAGCATTTTTGTTTTCTTCTTTTCATCTGGTATCATCTTTTATGTTGTAACCTCTGTACGGTATTGTCTTTTTGCAATGTGACAAGCATTCGATTTGTATTTCTCACCTTCTCAAGCTTCATGCTACTGCTCAAAGCAGCCTGTGTTTTTGTTCTTTCTTTTCATTTCTGTGAAGTTTTTATCAAAGCAATAGACTTGCTACAGTATTTGAATGACCTGGACCTCACTC